CGAATGCAAATTTTTGGAATGCGATTGCGAATGTTAGGAATAACATTAAACAAGTCATCGTTTTTATTACTTAAAAATTTTGTAACACTGAACAATTGCTCTCTTGGAACGCTGGCGGGCGGAGCGCTCAAATATTTGCGGGTCAGATCTGTCAATTTGTATTTTAGTTTAGTTTTCCACCAGTCTAGAGGATTTTCACCGATATGAGCTCGTTTTCTTTTTTTTTTTAAGATAGGCCTTCACATTTTTTAATGTCTCCAGATTCTACATCCGAGCCTTCGCTTGCTCACCCTGGTTAGACAGACTGAGGACCTTTTCAACAATATTAGAGAAAACTCTCTGCCCATGTACACATTCGCATTCGTAAAACATTCTTATTATTTGATGCGAATGCGTATATTTAAAATGATGCGAATCATTCGCATAACGAATACGAATGCAAATATTCGCAACATCCCTGATATGAATGTAGGCAGCACAGGTAGCTGCTTTTGCGACAATTTGCAACAAAATGCTACCTTGATTGCCTACTTTCAGGCGTTTATATACACCCACACACCAAAAATGCCTAAAAATCGCAAACCGTTGCCTGCATTTAGGAATTAATTAGAGAAAATATTTAGGCATTTTTGGTGTGTGCGAAGTTTTAAATAGCTTTTGTTTCTCTAAATTAACCGTGAATGAGGAAGATTGACTAAACAAATCGAGCTTGCATTCTTGCATACCACCAAAATACTTTTTCTGGGATAAAACCCAGTTCTACAGTAAAAGTATGTGATGTTGGGGTAGGGCTGCCGTATTTTTCCTGGTTTTAGAAAATTGTCCTGGTATCGCTGTTCCACTATTCCACATGCCAATATTGGCATCGAAAATTTCTTACAGCTCAATACTCACCAAGGTAAGCACAAAGGCAGGCCTAAAAGTTCTGTTGTAGATTTAATATATGTACATATGTATGTTCATGTGAACGTACAATTGCGTGGGTCCAAAAAAATGCTTTTAATTTTTTATTTTTATTGCTAAATGCTATTATGTTATTAGCTTAGAAGTATCTTAGACTCGCCCAAGTCGATCGCAAACTTGATTTTCTACAAAAAAAGGTTCGGATACTAAATTATGTAGAACTAATACTTTCGAAGACAACTGAAACTTTAGTAAAAAAATATATTTACTTATTATTAATTAATCTTAAGAAAATCAATCCCTCAAAGTCATTTTTTTTTTTGAATAAAAACATACACATAACGTTTTTTATAAAATTTTTGATCAAATCTAGTTTCAAGTCTTTATGTAAACTTTTAATATGTATATTGGAAAAAATTTTAAATGTACAGCTGATTAATTACCAGCCATCTGAGTCAACAATCAGCCGTTTGATGAAGAAGTTCGAAGAAACTGGGCTGGTGTTAAACGTCTCCACACCCGTATGTCTTCGTACAGGTCGTTCGGTCGAAGATATTGCTGCTGTGGAACAAAGAGTGGACCAGGCCGCGACAGTCTCAATCCGTTATTGTGCACAGCAATTGAACCCTTCCTACAGCACCGTTCAGCGGATTTTAACAAAATACCTCTGTTTACACGCTTACAAAATTCAATTGACGTCTAGTCACAAATCGGATGCTTGAACAACAAGCAGTTAATGCGGATTTTGCAAAAAATTATCCTGCGCGTTTTCCACATAACGGATACCTTATGTAACAGACAAAACTGCCCCATTTCTGGTACTGCAAATCCACATATCATTCAAGGAAAAACTATTCACCCGCAACGAGTCACTATTTGTTGAAGTTTTCGTGCTGGCGGAGTCATCGGACCGTAATTCTTCGAAAATGATGCCGATAACGACGTTACCGTGAACGTTACCGTAACACGGTAAAAATATTTTTAGGGCTCGAATTAAATGACATGGACTTGGTCATTATGTGCTTCCCCCTGCATTTAGATAATACCAATAACACCCAAATTTAGTTGATATTTTTGCAATAAGCGCACTTTCTTATTTTAGAACGAGAACCGAAGTAGATCTTGGGTATTGTGGAGTAGCCTATTCAATTTTTAATTTTATTGGAAATCATGGTAAATATACAATGACCTCAGTAGAGTTCTAACCCGATCACTAATACCCATCGTTAATAACGCAGAAAGGCTCAAAAATCCCACGAAAAATATTTCTCTGAAACACTCTAAGAATCGCTTTAGAATATACTGCCATTTTGGTATATCGAGTATGGACTTTTCTTTTCAATTTCCTTCCTAAACCAAAGTTACACTTGTTGGTAAGTGGTGCTTGGTACCTAGGAAATTTAATTACACTGTTTGAATCAGCTTTTCTAACATATGGTTAAAGCATTTGTAGAGAAAAAAGTCTCTTCGTATGAAATCTCGGAGAGGTCGTTCCTTATCCTGACTCTATAGGTGGAATTACTCAATGAGATTTCTCAAAGCCGTATTAGTTTTGCAAGAATATGAAAGTCAAGTGCGTTGAATTCTTAATTCAGATGAACCGATAAATTAATAAGTGTTCTTTATTATTCTTCCACCGTCATCTATACGGATGGCTCTTAAGTAAATCTAAGAGTAGGGCGGAATGGGATACACTCGAAGGACCTCTCATTAGATCGCAGCCTTAGGCCTCCAGACCTCTTTAGTGTAACACCAGCACAACTCGCGGCCATAAAAGATGCTGCACTCTAGCTCATGAAATCTTTTCTTAACCTGCCTTCAGTAACTATATACTCCGATAGCCAAGCAGCTATAGCGTCACTAGATTGCTGTGGAACCTCGTCAATAACTGCGATGGAATGTGGGAAAGTCCTTAACGATTTAACTTCAAAGTCTATTAGTCCAACTTATGAGGGTGCCAGTCCACAGAAACATTTGAGGTAACTGTGCAGCGGACGAGTTTCCGAGAAAACGAACCACCCTGCCTGATGTCAACTCTTCTCATGCGCTGGGCATAGCGCTGTCTACCTGCAAGGCATATTTCGTCGAGAAGCAAATAAAATATGGTCGGAAGAACCCACTTGTTAGACGACTTGATGGCATATTATTACGGTCCACTGCTTAATGGGAAGGTATGCTAGCAGAATGGCCAATGACCTCTGCCGAAGTTGCCGCAACGTGCACAAAATCGAGAGTGTGAAACTACGAGAAGACATACATTTCACCACCACCTCTTTGTCTCTCTGGCCGACCTAGTGAATGCGGCAGGCATTCATGAATTCTCGCGCTTTCTGAAAATAAACAACTGGTTATAGTTCTAGGTTAACGGACGGGATTGAATTAGAGCTCTCACTTGGTATCACAACGGGCTCACCAGGTATACATAAGTGTACCTCTCTTCTACGTTGGTTGATGGCAGTAATAGAAAAAATGTAATGTCGAAATAAACTTGGGCCCTCTTGGACGGTAGCTTGTTCCTCTAATACCGCGCCTACGACGGTCACCAATTCGACAAGTTTTCATAGGAATGGTATGGAATTCTTGAAAATCAATATTTTTCGATTGGAAAACTTCGTTTCTCTTCAATCGAATAACCATATCCAATTACTTATTTAACCATTTTATTTTATTAATTTTTTTTATATGGCCCCTAAAAACATCAAATGGGTACCTCATTGCATTTTACGAGGTTTTTAGGGGTCCTAAAAAATATTTAATAAAGGAAATGGTTAAAACAAACAATTGGGACTTGTCAGTGGAAGTCTCCTGAAGAGAATTAAAGATTTCCGATCGAAAAATATTGATTTTCAAGAATTCTATACCATTTCTACGAAGAATTTTAATAAATAAATAATATCTGAATATTCTTTTATTTCAAAATAAAATACAGGGGTAGAGTTTTTTCCGATATAGAACAATCCCAGAGGGTGAGAGCACTTAAAATTCCGACTTTACTTTTTCACTTGCATTTCTAGATCACCTAATGTAATAAATAATGTGGTTTTGAATAAACTATGCACAAAAAAGAAAATTTAATACCTTTTGAGTTTTAAAATCGCAATTTATTTATATAACTAAAAATGTGAAAAAAATTTTTTTACATACAATATTACATATAAAATATTCTAATTTTTGCTTTACATATACATATTTTGTTTTTAAATACATATGTTCCATTGTAAATGCATAGCACTGAAAAACTTAAAACTTATTCAAACTTACAATATAAGTAAATAAATAAATAAAACAAATATTTTTTTTTTTTTAAATTAAATTTGCGCAGGAAACTCGCAAAAGGAAGTGGAATAGAAATAAGGTTTAAAGTCGAAATGAAATTGATGGCATATTAAAATGATAGGCAATAAGAAGAGAAATTAATATAAACGTGTCTAAGTATGTGTGTATGTATGTATGTGTGTGTGTGTACACGTTAGTATGCTTTAATACGGAAGTACATGTACAATGGGGAAAATAATGCAATACATACTACTGATAATTGCAATATAACTGTAAACAATATGAATAAGAACAGGTCTCTACTGAAGATGAGCGGAATAGCTTTGAAGCCAGTAAAAAACGCTAGAAGAAGAGTTCAAAAGAGTTCATAAGTGCTTAATGGGTATGGCAGGGGAATCGTAGGTAAAGAAGGGAAAGAGGAAGAAGCAGACAACGATATTAGCGACGACTATGAAAATCGAAAGAAATACGTTGATTCGTTAAAACATTGCTTTTTTTATCAAGACTAATAAATAACAGTAGTCCATTTTGCAAGTGAGCAACAAGGAAATTGGTTGAGGAAAAACTTAGATAGTAAAAAGAGAGATACATATATGCATTTGGATGTGTATTAGACTGTGTCGTTTGTTATTTGACCAGCCAGTTTGAAAACTGTTTTAGAGAGAATTTTAGCTTCATTAAAGAATGCCTGCTAAAAACGTTCAAAATCGCGTTTGGCTCATAACTTTTTTATTTGTAAAACAATGTTATATACTTATATGTATGTATGCATGGGGCATACATATGCATGTACATCGTAGAAAAGATACATTTACATACATATACACTGCTTTAATATTCTATTCATCTACATATATTACCTCCTTCGACCAGGAAACTCGATTATTTTAATTTCTACCCAACTAAATTCAATTTTAGTTATCATGAAATTAAAAATTTTATCATATGCGGCTGTTTTCCATGCTCCTAAAGAGACGTAGAAGTCTCAAAATCCATTATGGCTTTTTTCATCATGAACACTTTCATGACGCCAAATCTTCTCAAAATAAGCTTTCAAATTACTAGAATAACAAACTTTTTTTTGCTTTTGCATCAGCACCGACCCGGTCTAATGTGTATACATAGATATACACATACATAGGGGTTTTGGCGAAATCGTATTAGTACCGTGAAGTGTGTAAAGGCGCCAAAGGCAAATTGAGGCGGCTAGCAGAAATCAGTAGCAGAAATTCTAATTACAAAATGCTACGCAATAAATTTTGCAGCAACACTTGTGGTTGATTTGGTCGGTATTTGTATTGTTGCTGTAGTGCATGTTGCAGTTGTGCGCCGGTTAAGGCTGCGCTTCATCTATGAGATGACTTACGGTCGGTCACTGCATTGTGGCAAAAATGCAATATATACTATATTCTGCATCTTTTTATGGATAGATATATGCAGCATATTGCACAGCGTGTATAATACAGGCAGTCGTTATTGTTATTGTTGTTGTTGCTGCTGTTGTTTATATTTACTAATGACGTTTTATGAAGTTCAACTATACATTCTGTGTGCCTACTGTTTATGACTTTTGCACTTGTTGCTGCTGCTGCTGCTGCTGCTGCTGTTGTTGTTGTTGTTGTTGTTGGTGTTGCTGTTGTTGCAAAGATAACGGTTGCTGCTGCTGTTGTAGCTGTTTCTTTTGCTGCTGCTCTTGCTGTTGCTTCTGCTGCGCATATGCACCTGTTGTCTGTCGATTGCTATAGCCGCGATAGGCCAGCTCATGCGCTTCATTAAGAGATCGTCTATCATAGCCGCCGCTACCACCACCCCCCGAAGACCAGCCACCGCCGCCGCCACCCGATGACCAACCCGAGCTACCACCTGATCCACCACGACCGGACATCAGCTTCTTCAGACCCATTATGCCCGCCAACAGCAGGGCAATCTTCGAGACAATCAGCGCTTTGCCGGCCATCATGTAGAGCATACCCATGGCAACCGGGATCATGCCAACCATTTTCATAGCCATGCCCATCATCATCATGCTCATCATTTTCTTCATTTTGCCACGACCTATGCGGGAGTGAAAGGAGAGAAAATGGAAAATTGTTTAGAGTAATTGTATATCTGTTAATTGATAAGTTAGGAAAGTGAAAGCTCTGCTAAAATTGGTAAATTGTTATCAAAAGTCTCAATATGCTTTTAATGCAAAAATAATAAGTTTTTTTTTTTGATTTTAACCTGATACTTGCAGACTTGTCGCTCACTTTTCTGCGAATTATTTTTTGTATTCGTTCATTTTGTTTGATTTGATTAATCGCAATTGACATAAGTTGCCATACCTACTTGCAATCCAAGCTCGTGCCAAGGCGATCTCGCTTACACTTATCCGCCGATGGCCACTTGCTACTTGCATTTAGTTGGGCATTACATTGTCACGGCTAACTTGTCTAGCCAAAATTGGATAGTGTCAGTGTACAAATAGCTACGCTTGATCTAAATGTGTAAAAACCTCATAACTAACCAGTTATCATGCAATTTAAATGGGTATTTCAAATTGCATTTTCATATTCACTTCAATGTGTATTTTTTCGCTTTCCTGCTTCATGTATGATGTATATTAGGGTGATCCCAAATAATTAATGTTGCGAATTTATGGCCTCAAAAGGATCAGTTAGTTATTTTGGATCGCCCTTATGTACATATGTAGATTAGCACTGTGAGATTATTCGATTACTCGAGCAAGTTTGGCTAGTTAGTTGTTCGGCTAATCAATTACTCGAGTAATCAAGATTTCAATTACTCAATACGATGATTAGTCGAGTGACCTAAAATAAAATTACTAAAAAAATTAATTTAGCTTGTTCAAAGAGTATGCTTTGGAAAATGCTTAACTTCTTTTTCCGTTGTGTACATGACAACAATATTTTATTTTAATTTTTGAAAACAGAAACGTTGTTTTCAAGGTATCGAGGGACTTCTACTTTTTTAAATGTAAAAAAATAAAATAAAAAAAGAATACTTTGAAAATTTGATTACTCGTCATAAAGCAAATTACTCAAATATTTTAGTTTTTGGTTAATCGAAATCTTGAATTCTCGAGTAACTGAACTATTGAGTAATCATAATTTCCTATTAATCGAACAATTAAGTTACTTACTTTTTGATTAATAAAAAATTGTATAACCCATTAATTGCACAGCCCTAACATATAGTATGAATGTTAATATACATTAGATTGCATCACTCCCCATACAAAAAAAATCGTAACCTTTGGAATTATAAAATCTATTGTATTTTAAGACGACCACCAAAATGTTTTGGAAAAATATAAATATTTTCGAAAGTTGGACCGATTTGAAAACACCAAAAATGTAGTTTTTTTATGAATAAAAATAGTTTCTCAAAGATTTTTTTTTTTAAAAACTCCCCTCAAATGAAAAAACGGGTTAAGCTTAAAAAATTTGCATACAAATATTTAAAAAAATGTCAACGAAATCGTAATAATGGGATGTTTGATGCTGTTTTTTGACTTTTCTCAAAGATTGGTATAAGAAAAACTTGAATAACTAAACCTAAATTCTCGATTTAGACTTCTGAGGCATAATTGGAAAGACATTTTCTAACCCTTTTTATTTCTTTGCTAATAAGCTCATTCAAAGGATGAAAGAGAAAGGTAGGATGAACGAACGTCATTTAAAGTTGGATTAAGATGTTTTGGTATTTGAAAAAAAAGGCACATGAATGACATATTTTTGCACAGAAATAAAAAGACCCCATAACTCTAAATCAGAATAGTTTTGGCCAAGTTATTCAAGTTTTTCGTAAATCAATCTTTGAAAATATAAAAAAACTGCATCAAAAATTTCATTATTACGATTCCGTTGAAAAGATTTTTAAGTATTTTTTTGTAGATTTTTTAATCATAATCTGTTTTGTAATCTGAGGGGATTTTTTTCAAAAGGTCGTTGGAAAAACTATTTATATTTTTTTTTATAAATAACTCCATTTTTGGAGGTATTTTCACATCGGTCCAGCTCACTTAAATCTTAATATTTTTTCGAAATATTTTGGTGGACGTCTTAATAATAATAGATTTTATAATCATGCCGGAAAACCCGCAACTCTTCTTGGTGATGCAGTCTAATATAGATATATACATACAAATATATTTGTATTGATACCCATTTCAGAAATATGACATGCCTTAAGCCTTATTAGCTTTTATTTTCCACTCACACCTTGGCTCAATGCACCCGCATTCGTCAACGTTTGTCAATGGTAATTACATTTCTATCAATTTCTCTGATTGTCCACTTGGAAATGATTTATATGTCATGAAATACATACTATGTATTGTTTTTAAATAAAAATTTCATATTTTTCAAATTAAATTATGTTGACTGATAACTAATGTTGAATTTCCACTAGGCATTGAAATGATAATTTTTTACCAAACTGCGTACAATTATTACTCTTGATACATAAAAGCAAGGCCTTGAAAATGTCTGAAATCGGACTAGAGTTACGCCCAGTGAAGCAGTTAATCACGTAGGGGTGTCTCAGGGATCTATTTTGGGTCCTTTCAATTTATACATTAGCGATTTCCGAATTGCTTAAAGTTTATGGTTATCGAAATGTATCGAGCTATCCATTTTTTTTTTTGGGTTATCGCATCATATCGCATTATTCAAATTGATAACCCAAATCGACCCCGTGTTGCCATATGGCAACGCAAAATACATCATGTATGAGAGGGTGTAAAACAAAAACCGTTTACTTAAAAATGCTTATATGTACGTTAACCAATTGCAAGGTTAAGTTAGTCTAATCTGGTAGGCCCTTAGTGTTGCCAGTATGAGCTCGTGTTTACTCGTTAAAGTAGACATCACAAAGGATGTGAAAGCTTTTTGTTAATTTCAGTAGAAACTTCAGCTCAACTTGTGAAATGTCGTCTAACTTCTCGAATTGTAATCGTAGTTTTGACAGTGAATGATATTGGCAGAGGAGATGCTTCAAGGTTTCCCTGGTCTCCCGCTTACGACACTTCCTGCACCTGTCCACGCTATTGGGACCCATTTTTTGTCCATGAGCTCCCACGAGGACATTCCACCACACCAAAGCGCCATAAAGTAGTATTGGTCTGACTATTGCTGTGTAGCACCAATGCATCAGGGCAGATGACAGACCTCAAGTGACGCTTAACACTATTTTACATCATCAAAAGGCGCTTCCACAGCAACTTACTATCCAGCGATCCCACAACAGAAATGGAAAATATAAAAACAAATTCTAAACAATAATTTTAAGCATTAACAAAAACATGTTTGTATTTTTTCTCCTTTTTCCCAGATTTTTTACAATTTCTCAGAAAGTTTTGATTATAGAGAAAAATAAATGGTTCCATGGTATTCAGCGACTTTGAAAACATATATGCAGCCTAATAGGGCGTCACTTTTCCACAATATCTGCCCTTGCCATCTCCTTGAACACGCTCTTAAATATTAAAGCCAAAAATAGTACAAAGCGGAGAATCGCATCGGATTAATATTTGAATTGGGCAACCAGACTTAGTCAGGTGGGTTTTTACAAATTTCGAAAGTTTTTAGCTATCAGCCTCAAAAAAATAGTAAAATTGGGTAAAATTGTATGCATTTATGTACATACATAAATGTGTTCGCTCTTGTGTATGACATTAAATATATTCCCTCATATTTTTTCACCGAAAGCACAATGCAGTAGGCAGCGCCACTTTTTGCTCATCCATCTGTACACTTTGCTAATTAGTTATGCTGAGGCGTGAATCTAATTACCTCATAATATAGCATTTTTTATGATGTGAAAACAAATCAAAATAAAATGTCGATGAGTGAAAATGTGGTAGTCACTTGGTAAAAATGTCTCTTTGAAGTTTCTTGGGAACTTTTAGAATCAGTAATTGCTACCATCAAACCAGTGTAATCCAAATTTGGAAAATATTTACATACTTGAAATTGGCAGCATGCAATTCGGATTGATATCTCAATTCCACCTTTTTTTATAAAATCTGTTTTATTGAAATTTCAAATTTTGTTAGACAGATAACACTCCCAAATCTATTAAAAATTTCTTTCAGTGATAGAAAAACTTATGGGAATTACCAGACGTTTCAACCTACGAATAAATAAATATTTTTATAATCACATACAATTTATGCGACAGTGTTGTTTTTGTAGTTGCTGCTGCTTTTTGCAGATGGCACAGTAGATTCTAATGAATATATGGGGCATGCAACTAACTAGTACTGCCATAAATAAATATACATACATACATACATACATATATGTATGTAGATGTTATACGGGTAAAATATGATTATGAAAGACGGCGTGGAACGCCTAAAATGTGTCAGCTTACTCACGTGAATATATGTACAAGTACATACATATGCACATACATATCTACATAAATGTGCATGCTCGGGCTTATTAACATTAAGAAGCACATTCTATGTAGTCCCAAACCTTCTATTAACGTCTACTTTGGACGAATTGGAGCAAAAATTACTGAAGTGTGAAAAAATGTGTGATGAATAATGAGTAAATTTTAGAATATAATGCAATACCCACAACTTACATGCATGCATATTTATGTATGTATCTATGTACATATGTATGTATGTATGTATGTATATATATGGTTATCAGCTTAAGCTTCATACAACTTCCTTTAATTGGATAGGTGCTTTCCTTAAACTACCAAACATATCTCTTTATATTTAGGCAATGAGGTATTTGTTTTAGACATATTGTAGTTTATGAGTTACAAATGATTCAAGGACACCGCATCCTATGACACTTCAATCACTTGCAGGGGATGGGCCGATCATCTTACTCGTAATAATTGCCTTGTAAAATTTGCAAACCTACACGTAGAATGTTCCATTAAATTTTGGTAACGTAACTAGGGTGGTCGACATATGCAAGTAAAACGTAGGTATGATTCTGGTCGAGCAATTTCTAAAGAATTGTTTTCTATGTCGGTCGCCCTTCGGCAGGAAATGGTTAACCTCCTTATCTACTTTTGCTAAGAAAAAAACTTTTCACAAACACGATTTGCAATTCGAAAGCGACCTTAAACTGTCCCTGCGTTTATGGTGTAACATTAAGAAGCACAACACAAATTCGAGAAGAAGTTTGGCCGACCATAATTTGGTCACCAGATCAGCATACTCCTTTCTTAAATCGTTAAAATATAAATTACGCCTGTGGGGTTTATCACAACCAAAGCAATGTACCTACATACAGTGAAACCTCGATATAACGAAGTCGAAGAGGTTGGATATTCGTTGGTTGCTAGCTGTTATATCTACAGTTTCGTTATATTTATGTATTTATAGAATATCAAAACTACGATAAATCTAAAAATGCAATATTTTGGAAATTATTCTTTACAACGTGCGACAAAAACCGAAATATTTCAAAACACACGAAACAGTCAATATATTTACTTTTACAATATGGGTACCAAATGCAAGAGAAAATTCTGTAGAAATAAAAAGTCTAAATAGTAGCAGTAGCCCTTCATTGTAGTTATGGTGACTTATGAAATGAGTGCAAAAGTCTGATGAGCAGATGTGGTCATCTCCGAAAGAGCAGCTAATAATCATAGTCGTTGTATAAAGCTCAATAACAATATTACAAATAAATGTTAATAATCCACAATAACATTGACAAATAAAGAGTTTAGGATGAGCCTGCCTTAAACTATACAATAAAGAAAATTAATGTATAGATTTAAAAATATAAAACTAATATAATAAAAAAATAAAGTTTTTCTCTCCCCAAGGACAAAATCCCCTTTCAGATATTTTAAATTTTTTGAGCTAATAAACTTAAAAAAAAATAACAAAATACTACGAGCACATCGTGTGTATATTAGCTCTTGATATATATATACAATTTTTTTCAAAAAAATATGCAAATTTTCATGATATTCAAGGATACAATTTTACAGGGCATTTTCAACATTTATTCGTCATGGTGCAACAAAAAAATTTGTTTTTAATTCTACGGAATTATTTCTTTTAACTGATACCCATATTGTACTTATTCAATCATATCCTGGAAATTTTAAAGTCCTTAAAAAAAATCGAGACGTCAGAAAGAAAAATTAAAAACCCAGTTATACTATACTTGTCTCCTGGTTTTGTGCATATATGGATTTTTTCATGTGTTTTAAAAATTTTTGGTTTTTGTCGCACGGTGATAGCTCTTGACACACAATTAAAAAAAAAAAAATATTGCAAATATTCACGAATATTCAAGGACTAAATTTAAAAAGGGAACTTTTTACACCTGCACCAAACAATTTTACCTTTTTTGATTCTACTGAATTTTGTCTTTTATTTGATACCCATATTGTTATTCTACATTGCACTGAATTTTTTTAATTAATCATCCATCTATTTGAAATTTCAAAGTCATAAAAAAAATCCTAATATCTGGGAATGAAACTACAATCGCAGTTTTGATACTTCGGGTCCGTAGTTTCGCTAATTTATTGATATTTTGTGTGTGTAAAATTGACCAATCCACGGTGTTATAAGTATAGTTTGGTAATTTTTTAACGGGACTCTAACCGTCAACATATTCAGAATTCGGTGTGTAGAGGCTTTTAAATCGACAGTTCCTCATATAGAAGTTTTTGTTTACAGACTTTAGCCGTCAATAGCATTTTTTTTCTATATTGGGTTTTTCGTTTTATCACGGTTCGTTATATCGAGGTTTCACTGCATATTTGTGTTTGAGAGCCTGCTGTACACATTGTATTTATTTATTAGAAAATAAGCATTAGTTTTGAGCATTGTTTTTGCATTTCAGTTATTGAATGCAAATATACTTGCTGACTATACAAAACGAAGAACTATATCTAGCACCAATCATTAATTTACGATTTGTAAAACTGTATTTTTAAACCTCGCCGGGAAGCTAATAAGCGCTATATAACAATGAATTGATTAAGGTCATCAAACCTGCACCGTTATCTCGAATTTCAAAACCAAGATGCCAAATTAATGAACTGGGCTCTTTGGTGTGCAGTAAGCTTTTATTTTTTTAAGTTGAAACTTTGTTTAGTGGTGATTTAAAATTTTATGAAATGGAAAACCGATACTATTTAAGACTTTTCTTCGCTCAGAAACGGCTGGACGGATTTAGGTGAAACATTGGGAATATATTTATTTAGTGCTTTGAATAAGGCAGCCAGCTCTTTATAAAAGTTAGTTTCATTTTTACTCTTTTAACGTCACGCGTGTTCATAGTATGACCTCGCAGAATGTATGTAAAAGTAAAAAAAAGCAAATATCTAGCCGAAACGTTGATTTTCAGAGCTTTTGCGACACCACTTAGCATCCCAACACACGAGAGTCTCGCAAAATGTCCTCAAACGATCTCGTATAAGAGCAATGAACGATTGGAAAACTTTTTTGATCGCAAAACCTTCGCATTGCAGCTTGAAATTTGCGATAAAAATGCAAATGGAAGAAGAAGATTGTCGTTCTGCTGATGTTGAAAAATTAGTTTTATTTTATTTGTCAAAGTGAAGTGTGTGTAGCAGCTGAATTATTAAAAACTGTTAAAGGCTCAGATAGCCTAGACTTAGTTGACGTAACGTAACCTAATATATTGGCCAACGTAATATATTTTTGTTCAGGAATATTTCAGTCTTATAGGCGACAAAGTGACAATCAGCTGAAAAGAAAAATACAAAAACGAAATATTTCCGCTTCTGGCTAAGTTTACGTTTTGAGTAATCAATGACGACTTATTGCGTAAGTTAAGTTAAGTCTAGAGTTATTTAGCTTTAAGGCACTGAAATTAATCAGCGGATAGAAATCCTGCAAAGATACCAAGGATTCTTATCATTCTATATTAAAAACAAAAAAAAAGCTCAGAAATCGCACAAGCCGGAGCTTGGTGGCTTATAGACACCTGGTCTTGAAAATAATAAAAATTAACATGTTGAACAGCGTCGAAACTGAAGATTAAATGCAGGACACTGATGTTAAATAAGACCGAGGAAAAAGGGGTAGATATAGAGAAAACTTCAGAGATGTCGGAGCAGTAATGATAATGAATACTGAAGATGTAGCACGAGATGAAAGCTGTTTTTAAAATGGTAAGGCTGATACTGTTTCTGATGGACAGAGAAAGTAACATTAAATTTTAAAACATGTACAATTTTTTTAATTAAGGAAAATGCCCATAAATAATAAAAAGCGTTATGGTTTAGCTGCATGACACAAAAAGTAGGTAGTTCCATTGTCAGTTTTTCAACAACCTGACAATTAAGCAGATTGCGGCATTGCGTGCTTTCATATCCAATATCTAAAATCCTTCAAATTTTATTATTAATTTTTTGTTTATTTAAAATCATTTTGTTCTTAGAATCGAAATTTGAACAAGCAAAAGCTATTTTGTTAGGTAAGGTTCGGTTATTTGTACAATAATTTTGGGTGTAACCCGCATCAAAAAAAAACTTAACATGCACGTGTGGTCAAACGATGAAACTTTAGTTTAAAATAAAGATTTGAAATTTTCGAACACAACTTTATTAATAAATTCGGTTTGAAATAAGCGGTTTTCCAAAAAAATTCTGTAGTTAGCGTAGCCGGAGTGGGTAATTTTTTCTAAGCGCAGCCAAAGGCCTCCAAGGCGGAAAGGTATTCTGCGCGAAAATCGCGGGGTTGGCGTAACCGGAGTTTACATATCTCTGGCGAAATGCTAGTTTTACCCCACTTTCAAGTGGGTGGCTAGGGGTTTGGAGAGGATAGGGGCGACTTTTCTTAAAGTTTGGGCAGTTCTCTTTCTAATGGGAGGGGATTTACGTGCCCCAAAAAAGGTTGTTCATTGAAACTTCTTTTTTGTATCATGGCTTAGCTCAATGTTCAGAGGTGTTTGCTATTGATTATTCGTTTGAATCCAAGAGGTCCTAGTTTCCAATGTCGTCTCACGCAACTGGCAGTTTCTGAACTTTGTTTGGTTTTCCTAATTACATATTAAAAAGCAGTAGTGAAGTTCACAACGAAAGTGCATTCAAACGACTAAATCTCAAAAAAAAAAAACGCTAAACGAAAGATTGTTTGGCGCCAAATCATATGTATTTTAGTTTGAAACAAATACGATACGGTTTATTTTTCCCCCAGTGTACACACTCATCCAACTCACTCACCTTCTTCTAGTCCACGTCCTATTTCCTCGGCTGTCAATTTGGGAAAATTCACTTGCAGCGTGTGACCATTGAAGAAGTGACTCAATCGCTCTATAAGCATATTTGTCAGCTTGGTATCGCGATCATCGCTGGAGCGTGACAGCGAAGATTCAAGCTCATTTTCGCCATAAAGTGGCTGAAGTGGCGCAGAAGATGCGGCTGCGGCGGCGCTAATAGCGCTATTCGGCAGGCGCACCAATTTAATGCCATCCGCCACAGCGATGGCATCTATGTGCGATATGCGATCAATGAAGGAGATTGCCTTCTTCTTCAGGCATGGCACAAAACCGCCATCTGCGCGGCTGCACTCATCGTAGATGCGCAAAATGGTGCGTGTGCTGGCGTTAGCGGTGTTCAATGGCGGGGAAGATGACGGCGAAGACGATGCAGGTGCGGGCGGAACTGATGATTTTTTGACTGTTGCTGCTGAGTTGGCAGAGGCGATTGATGCTGCTGCTGCTGCTGCTAATCCTTGCTGCGCAAAAGGGAAATTACTAAGATTCTCGGTGCCGGCATTGCAAGCGGATAACAGGAGGCAGAGGCAGAACGCGAACGCGTAACTCCAGAATGTGGCGCGATTTTTTAACTTCGCATGCGCAAATGTCTTTTTCAAAAGCATTTTGAGAACTTTTTTGTTTTGTTTTTTTGTAATATTTTAAGTAAATCGGTTTTGAGTGTCAAAGTTTTCAAATTCTTATTTTTTTATTTTTTTTTTTATTTGCACTAATTATTGCCACTAACTTTCGTATGTAGTGTATGTTCGGTTAATTGCAATATTTATGTCAATTGTAAGCACAAATCACATTTTATTTATACTTGTTTAGTCAGTATCCTGCCTTATCGCACAAATGCATACGCACACTCGTTAACGCAAGCTTGCACCAAGCGCAATTCAACGGTAACTTTTGGTTGCCTTTAACTACTACACTTCATATATATGGATTTATTTTTTGCTGTTGGTGTTGTTTGTATCCATTTGATTAACCACCGGCTGAAGCGGCTTCTGTCAGTCTTCAAAACACACTGATGCCACCGCAAAGCGCGCTTTATTCTTTTATAGACACCTCTTTTCTTCACATTAAAAACCAGCAAAGAAATTACCAACTGCTTTTCTTGTGCTTTTCCGAATTTCTTTGCAATTTCATTGCGAACACGGCCACAGCCGGCATTCTGTGCATTTTTTTTGCTGCAAAGTCACTTAGTTGGCTGCTTGCTGACTGGCATTTGGTTGTTGAAATTTTTGCGCCAACTAGTATTTTGTGTCTGCAACATTGTTGCTAAACAATTGTGAGAAGGTAAATGCATTTTTTTTGGTTTAACTTGAACCGATTTCTGCCACTTTTCTCTTTGTTAAGAAACAATTTTTCTATTGAAATTTTAACTTTGAAATGTTGCGTTCTCCCACGTTTAGCGTTTAGTGGCTTATGCCTTTGAATTGCAGGCAAATATGCAAAGACAATATTGTTTCACTCGATAAACTGCAACAGTTGGCAATCGCTGACATTGACGTGACAATTTTCTTCTCTCACATTGTTACATTGTTTACATTATTCACTTACATTTGGATTTGTTTGCTATCGCTTTAGTTTCGCCGTCTGCGCTGATTTTTTTATTTGTTTAAAGGTAAATATGCAACATGATCGCGTTGCACTTGGCGATGAGTCGACAGCAGCTTGATTTATTTTGCATTGAAGTAAAAAGTGCGAGCAGTAATTTAGCTCCTGAAATCAGGATTGTGGGAACTTGAATGGAAAACCTTTTTCGCTTCTCAAAGGGTTTTCATGTCTAGGCTGATCAAAAAAATAACTTTAGAACGTGCAACTTTGAATTAAAACAAACATGGCGCCAACGGGGCCACGAAGTGATCGGACACAACGCGTGCTATGAGGGATCACAATAAGAAGAGAAAAGCAAAATACATAAGAGAGTGCGAAGAGCTTGATATGCTGACCGACAGGAAAAACCGCCTGAAAATTCAGAGTGTCTAACTGAAGGCAGTTTTCATGTCAAGTGTGAATTCCTTCGGACATCTAATGAGCGATGAATGCAGCGTGATAAAATTGTGAATGGTACACCAATTGAATGGTCGAATGGTAACATCACTAATGACACTACAGGCTGGCACGACAGGATTTATTTTAAAGGACTTTGTAACTTCAAAGATATGACTGATTCCAAAAATTATTTAAAAAATTCAGTGAAATTTAGAATAAAAATATCGATTCTAAATAAAAGAGGAAATTTCTTTAGAATAAAAAAAAAAAAATTTTTTGGATTCACAAGGACGAATAGGTAATTTTTTAAGCTGACACAGTTAGAGGGATGAAATTCGAGGATGTTATCGAGTTTATATAAGAGCTTAAAATATAAATTTTTCAAAAATAAATATTTCGAAATTTCAGGGATAAGATATCTAAAGGACATTTTCAATACATAACAGTCCTTATGCACCAAAAAATTTAACCTGTTTAAATTTTACAGATTTTCCTCTTTAACTTTATAGCCATACTTCTTTTCTAAGTACATTTCACTGAATTTTCAAAATCATTTTTGAACTACTGACGTCAGAGTGAAAAACTTAAAACCCAACTTTATTACATATATTTGGCCCATGGTTTCGCGAATATATTGATTTTTGTGTGTAAAATTTACTATCGCACTTTGTTATACATATGTATATATGAAAAAGAAATAAAGCCAATACCGATCCAGGAAAGGAATTTCTATTATTGCCATCAGTGCAAATTACAAATCCCGAAAATCCCGGGATTATTTGTCCAGAATTCCGGGTTTTTAGGGACGAAAAAAAGGCCGGGATCCCGGGATTAAAACTTCTTGTGAGAACACATGCGATGCCGTCAGAATGCTGCAAACCAATGTTGCCAGAAAATTTTTAGGCTTATAGATGTATTCTTCGAAAAAATAGCTAACAAATTTTTCCATAGCCAAAAAAATTGCTAAAAATATTTTTCCTCAAAACTAGGTAAATAAACCTGTTTTTATATTACATATGTATCTAGTTTTTCTCATAATCAATATACATACATACATAGGGCCATAACACTGTGTTTACTTTGAGCCATTAACTCGAGTTTATGGGCCTATTTGGAGTTAAACAATTAACACTACTCATTAACTCGGAGTTTGCCATACAAATACATAGTTTTTTTTTTTAACTCGCCTCAAACACCATTTTATTTGGAGTTAAAGCGAGTGCAACCCTTTTTTTACCGAATTTGGTTTGTGTTTTTGATAATCCAAACCTGCTCTAAAAATTTTTAATTGCAAAACGGCGGTACTATGGCTCAAATCGCTGACGGGAATGTTGCTTTAACAGGGAGCTTTTCCTCCTCTCGCAACGTCACATCTTATATATTTTCTTTGTTCTTTTTGCTGTTGTTGTTATTGTTGTTGTTGTTTTGGTTTTGTGTTGTTGTCACTAATAATAGTGGTCCCACTAGCAGTCCGGAAGGGGTTCGTCACTCGTCCGCAGAGCCAGGATGCATAGAGAAAGCCCGCCTAGAACCGATCTTGTTCGGGCATCGGAGTGTTGGTTCGGTAAACCCAGCATTTCAACCCTCAGCAACAGTAATTTTTCATATTGAAGCGTCAAGAAGTGCTGAAGTGTGAAGGATGCAATACTGTATTTCCTTAGTTCATTCGACACTGTGACACTTGCCATGCCACTATTTAAGCTTCCACGCCACGGCAAGACGACCAACGTTGAGGAAGAGGAGAAAATTAGATTTTTTTTCCTTGGCCACTAGAGAAAATTTTTCCCACTTTGTTTTCAAAAGTTAAGGATACCAAAAATTGGTTGTCCTCTTAATATTCTCATTAGTTTTGATATGTTTTGGCCAGCTGTGTTACACTTCAGTCGTTTTGACTACTTCCTGCGAAGTGGAGCGTTTCTATGTATAATTATTTAAAAATAAATTCTGATGTTAAAACGCTGCAAGTGAAATTATAAACCGAAAACAAGCTATCCTTTTAAATGTCTTAAAAAACACAAATTTAATTTCTTTGTTGTTCTAAGGAATTGCTCATAATCTTTAAAGTTGTGTTGTCTTTTGAATTGTATCCTCCAGCAAATTTGCGAAATATGGAAAGCTACAACAAATGGTCGTTAATCTTTTTTCCGTTTATCGGAGTAAAGTAAAACTTTTTAACTTAAAACAAATTGCAAAAATCTAAACTTGCATTTCTCTTAATAATTTGCCACAGGTATGTCACAAACATGTTTATGTATACGTATGCACGTTAGGGTGATCCGAAATAAGTAAAGTCGGAATATTAATGCTCCCACCCCTAGGATTGTTCTACATCGAAAAAATTATACTCCAATTTTTTTTTTTAATCAAAAAATATTTAGAGGTCGCTCAAGGCGCTCAAAGTTTTCCATGAATTATATATGGGAAAAAACAACTCCTCGTAGAAATAATATAGCATTTTTGAAGATCAATATTTTTCGATCGGAAAACTATGGTTCTCTTCAGAAGACTTCCTATAAAAATACCCAATTGTTTATTTAACGATTTTTTTATACTACAGATTTTTTATTTATTCCTCCATTGCATTTTCTGGGGGTTTTGCCGACCTATTAAAATTTTTTTTATTTATTCCCCTTTTGCATTTTCTGGCATTCTGGGGGTTTGGCGGACCTATAAAATATAGTTACTATGAAAAAAATGGTTAAATAAATAATTGCGTATGATTATTGGGAACCTCCTGAAGAGAAACAGAGTTTTCTCTTCGAAAAATATAAGTTTTCAAGAATTTTATACCATTTCTATGAAAAGTGGTTTTTCCCATATTAAATACATGGAAAACTTTGTGCGATTGAGCGGCCTCTGAATATTTTTCGATTTAAAAATAATAAATTGGGGTATTTTGTCGGTGTAGAACAATCCTTGGTGGTGAGAGCATAAATGGTCCGACTTTACTTTTTCCCCCCCCAAATGCATTTTTGGACCACCCTAATGTACATACATTCATACATCCATACATTTTATAAATAGGAATGTGAAGTACATGGTTACTTATCTACATACTAATCTATCTTTTCACTTTCGCAGCCATTTATGTTGCTTTCAATTGCACGATGGCGTCTAATAAGGCACCGCAAAGGTCAAACATGCAACCACCGAGTTAATCAGACATGGTATGAATCTGGCGTTACAATAGTTACCAGTACTTTCCCTGCACAGTTAGACAAGTACTAGTAGCGTTGTTTTTAAGTACGACAGGTGTTTGCGTGGCGAAGTAAAGTTAGGCAAAAGCGGTCTGCTTTCCGTCGTTTTTTTTTTTGTTTGTGCAAAGTTCCTTTAGTATTTTTTGTGTGAGTTTTTTTGCGCTTTTAACTATTTTGTTGTTGTTTTCAGAAATATTACCCTCTTACATGTGTATGTACTTGGTTACTGCTAAAGCACTTTTAATCAGTTTCGCGTCATTTTGTCTGCTTACTGAATTGGAAGCTTGTTGCACTTACATATACATAACATGTACCGACAACAACAGAAATGTTTAGTCGATATTGTTTACTGCTAAGTTCATTGTCTTCATTTGAATATTCAATATCAAATTTACGACAAAGGACGTATGTACTAGGAATTTTAATTG